CGACGACGCCGGGAGATTTCCTCTGGCCGCCCCGTGCCGGCCTCGCCCGCGGCGCGCCGGAGCTCGGAGGGGAACGGGGAGCCCCGGCCGCGCGCTGGGATGGCGTCCGCAGCGATGCCGGGATCGATGTTCCGCACGGGATCGGCGGGGAGGAAGGCGCTCGGCCTGGGCCCAAACCTTGGGGAGCGCCGGGAGCTGGAAGCGGTGGGGCTGCGGATCGGGAAGGAGAGATTCCGTCAGCCTCCCTCCACGCAGCCCCTGGAATGGCGTGGGAAGGGCTGGCGGGAGCGGGCCCGGAGCGCGGCTGAAAACTTCAACTAAGCGAGAGGGAAAAATACACGAATAAGCATTTTATTTAAAAAACCAAAATACTGATAACAAAACCCGAGTTTTAATGCAGTGGTCTCTAGAAGCGTGCTGATGTCGTGCTGCGTGTAGAGTGCTGGTGGTAGCAGATTTGCAATTAAATATTAATATTTGCATTTAATTAGGTATGAAGTAGCTCCAAGATCTGACAGTGAAGAAAGCGGGTCAGAGGAGGAGGAGGAGGTAAGGAGAAACGCCACCCGTCTCCCTTACGCTTTCGTATCTTAAATATTCTTGAGAGAACGGGACAGAGCCGTGCGTGCCGCGCTGAGCTCAGCGCCGGCATCGCGCTTCCCGGCCCAGATCTGCGTCAGTCAGCTCACATAAGCGTAGGTAGAATAAATAACTATTTATTAGTTAGAATAGACCAAAAAAGCCCCGTAAAGAAAGCGAGGGGGCGGCGAGCTCTGTTCGTTGGCTGCCCCGTTTCCTTCCCAAATGTTTCTCACGTAACTCTTTGGCCGTTCGGAAGCGAACGGCGCCAGGCTGCTTGCCCCGGGGCTTTCGGAGCCGGCCGCGGGGGGCTGTCGGCGGGCCGGGGCGCTCCCGCGCGCGGCCGAGCAGGTTCTGCCGCCCTTTCCGTCGCGCAAAGGAGAGCGAGCGGCTTTGTGCTCAGAAGGCGGCGCCTTGTCTCTCCTGGCAGGAGGAGGAAGAGGAGCAACCGCAACCCGCTCAGCCTGCCCTGCCTGTGGAGGAGAAGAAAAAGATCCCCGATCCAGACAGCGACGACGTCTCCGAAGTGGACGCCAGACACATTATCGAGTGAGCCCTGCCCCTTAACCCGCTCTCGCGGCCTCAGAGCCGCTTCCGTCACTCTCGCGTGCTCTGTGCCAAAGGAGCGAAATCCGGCGGGCGGCGTTTGCCCTGCTCCCGGTTTTTGAGAGCCGTCTTTTCCAAACGAGACCGAATTTGGCGCGTATCGGGGAAATGAACCACCCCGGGACCGGCGGGGCTCCCCGGGAGGTTTCCCCAGAGGCAGCATCTTTCTCATCTCCGATTTTTTCCCTTCTCCCC